TGACTTTCATTTGGCTTGTTATGTGACAGGTTAGAGCACAGTCTTATGTTAGAGTTTTGTCATGAGAACATTGAGATACCTCACATACTGATGGCATCTAAAAAAAATTTTTTTTTCTTTCTCAAAATAAAGAATAATTTTAATCACAAGTGAAACGTACAATCCTAGGAAAACCTCGTCCAATCAATGTGCACGTCCTGTTCTCACTGATTGGATAGAAATCCTTCCATCTAACTGTGTGTGTGACAGTGTGTGTGTGCATGCACACACGAGCGTGTTGTGAACTGGTTTTGCACTGATGTAACCATCTTTACGCTGACAAAAATGTAACTAAGTAACTTTTACTTAGAGTACATTTTATTTACAATACTTTTTACTTTTATTTGAGTAAAAATTTAGGCAAGTACTTTTACTTGTACTTGAGTAAAAAATTATCAAAGTACTGGTCCTCATATTTAAGTAGGAAATTTTAGTACTCTTTCCACCTCTGGTACTGATAAATAACTTAATAAATGACACAGATCTTTGTTTGTTGCGTTTTACAATCCAGTTAAATTGGGTTTTGAATCTAATGTAAAAAATGAAGGCTCTAGAGATAAGAATGCTCTTTGATTTACTGTTTTTACCTCCTGTAGTACAGACTTTATGAGCTCAGCTTTATTGGTTGAAGGCTGTAAAGACAAATGACACGTAGGATGAAGATGTACACACACTGACACCCCTAACATTTGATAGAGCGTGAATAATAAAGAGCAGCAACTTAGATTCTGGTTAGTTATAACGTGAAACTTAATTTAGCATTATCAGGTGAAGGTGTGCGTGAGTGTCGGGGTGGGTTAAGCCTCTTCGCAGACAGATTGGATTGCTCTGAGTGTCAAGATGTAGTTGATTGGTTTACATGTCTGCCTGCCCACACAAGTCCAGAGTCCATCAGAAGATTAGCCGCCTCATTCTTTTAATTCTCTGACTCCTCTATGTTGTCCTCAGTGTGTGTGTGTGTGTGTGTGTGTGTGTGTGTGTGTGTGTGTGTGTGTGTGTGTGTGTGTGCTTTTAATCGTGTTTTATTATTATTACACCCATTCCGTTTCACTCCAGGAAATTAAGAAGGCTCGAGTCGGCTCACAAATCGTCTGCTCAGATTGAATCCATAAAGCCATAAAAGACATGCAGAAACAGGCTGGTCCAGTGCTTCACGCAAACCAAAAATCTGTAGGCGATGTTGGAAAATAAAACAGGACACTCGTAGTAGCAGCTCAGACAAACTGAGACAGCGGATATCCTCAACTTCTCTTTTTAACACCCCACTGTGCTCTGAACTCTTCACTTCCTCTTCGGCTGGCGTTACCGTAGAAGTGTTTTTGTTTCAGAAGTTTTTATTTATTTATTTATTTCCCCTTTTTATTTCATTCAAAATTTATAAAATAAACACAAGCAAATACAATACATAAACATTATGAAGAAAAAAAAACATTTGAATGAAAAGGAGCAGATAGAAGAAAATCTTATCATTTCTGCCCCTTTTTACTAAAGAAAATTATCCGTAAAACATACACAACATAACCTCAGTCCCTTTCTTCTTTTTATATATAATCATTGACATTTTTATTTACCTTGTCTTAATTACTTAATACATTTGATTTTATACATTTTTTTAAATATAGCAAGTGAGTTTGATTCTTTAATTTCTCTTTTAAGGGGATTCCATAATCTTACACTATTTGCAGAAATATTACATTCCTTCATTTTGGTTCTGAATTTAGTTTTTTTAAAGACACCAGTCCCTTTTAACATGTACCCACTTACTCTCTTATGAAACATTTTTTGAATATTAGCTGGTAAATTACTCGTATTCCCTCTGTACATTATTTGCAAAATTTTCCACTCTACCAAGTCAGGAAATTTCAGTATTTTATGTCTAATGAATAGTGGACTAGAGTGATCTCTGTAGTTACTGTTATTAATGATCCTCAATGCTCTTTTATGTAAAATGAACAAAGGTTGAGTAAAAGTTTTGCATGTGGCTCCCCAAATTTCCAAACAATAAATTAAATATTTTTTTAAATATTTAAAAATATAAAAATTAGATTTTTTTCTTATGTATATCATTGTTTATATGTTTTATTTGTTTTTATTTTGAATGAAATAAATGAATTAAAAAAATAAAATTTAATTAAAAAATAAATATGGTTCAATCAGTGAGTGATACAATGTTAACAACCCAGACCAATTTAGTAGAAACTTGACTCTATATAATACTGCTATGGCTTTGGCAACTTTCCCCTTTATATAACCTACATGTGAGACTCTCATCAAACAGGGCTTCAAGAGATTTGGTTTATTTTACTCTTTGAATTTCCATTCCATGTATCGTTAAAGATACATCACAGCTTCTTTTGTTGTTAAACAGTATTAAGTTTGTTTTGTTCAGGTTCAGTGACAGTCAATTTAAATCAAACCATTTTTTAACTTTAATCAGTTCACTGTTTATTACATGAGTTACTTCATGTATAATTAATCCTGAATAAAACAACGTGGTATCATCTGCAAATAAAACTGTACCAAGTAGATGAGATACATTTACAAGGTCATTAATAAATCATATGAACAGTTTAGGACCGACCCTTGTGGCAAGTTCTGAGTTTTTATCATTTATGTTCCAATAATGTTGTCAGATGTAGATTTTGTGAGGCAGGCATACACCTGGAGGAAAGACAACAAGAGGGTGATGGACTGTGGAGAGATGATCATTGAACCAGGGTCTCACTGGTGGTCATGTTGGTGCTCTAGTGCCACCGCAACACTTTCATCATCTCTAAATGACCTGTAACACAACACGGATGTGTCTATCATTAGTCAGTGAGTCAAAGAATGTGTGTGTATGTGTGTGTGTGTGTGTGTGTGTGTGTGTGTGTGTGTGTGTGTGTGTGTGTGTGTGTGTGTGTGTGTGTGTGTGTGTGTGTGTGTGTGTGTGTGTGTGTGTGTGTCTAATCCTTAGTTGGACCAGACCATTTTACAGCCAATCACTCCCTTACTGGTGCGTCCAAAAATACATCCTGACTTTGTGCAATGTCAGAGTCCATCTCCTGCTGTGTGTGTGTGTGTGTGTGCGTGTGTGTGTGCGTGTGTGTGTGTGTGTGTGTGTGTGTGTGTGTGTGTGTGTGTGTGTGTGTGTGTGTGTGTGTTTTGTGTGTGTGCGCATGCATGCGAGCGTGTTTGTTTATTACTTACTTGTTGATTGTGTACATTTTTTGGCCAGGACCAACATTAACACCATCCACGATATTTATTTAAAAAATATATATTTTATTGGTGTAGATTCTCAGTCATTCAGGACATGATAATCTTGATAGTTCTAAATAAAGAAGAAGTTTTGTCTCTCATCTAAGAGGCTTATTTAGTTCTAAAATGTTGGTTTGGAGTTGGAGGCAGAAACACACTGATAGGTCACTAACAAGTCTATTGTGTTTACCATCAAGGTCACATGAGTCTCTAGTGCTCTGTTGGTAACAATCCAGACAACATGTGCACTCTTTTGGTCACATGTCTCAAGGTATGAGTTTCTGTGAAACTATCTGCATTGCAATTGTCCTAAAGGTGAAACCTGAGGTCACCCCTTGGTTTTCCATGTTTCACATAGATGTTTTCTTTAACCCCTCTCAGAAAACATGTCATCTAATTGTGTAAGTTTTTGTCTTTGTCCTTGAGGTGTAGATGAACTGCCTCAATCTTTAATTAAATATTACACAAACCTTATGTAAAGTCTTATTTAGACCTGGGCTTTTACCACTGTGTAGACTTTTTTTTATTAGAAAATTAATAAAACCAGCACTAATATTTAATACTTCTGTTCATTCATTCATTCACTATCTAAACTAGGGGTGGGGGACCCTGGTTCTATCGAGGGCCGCTATCCAGCATATTTTAGTTCCAACTCTGCTTCAACACACCTGATTTCAATCAGCAGGTGATTAACAGGCTTCTGCAGAGCCTGATGAGCTTCTGAAGAGGTGAATCAACCACTTAATCAGAAGTGTTGGAGCAAAGACATGCAGGATACCGGCCCTCGAGGACCAGGGTTCCCCACGTCCGACCTAAGCCATGCATTCCTTGGTTGGGTAAAAGAGAGCTGCTGCCTAACTCCAGCAGTCTTTGGGTGTGTCTGAACACCCTGGGCAGGTCTCCTGTCTGTCACAAAGCCACATTAAAGCTTCAGTTCCACTGAGTGGAGTGGTCTGGGTCGGAGTGGTTCACCATGGGGCCGTATGGACCAGTATTGGTTGGCGTTTTCAGGAGAGCGTTTCAATTGCCAGTTGGACTCAAACTTGGCAAGCGGGGTTAAACCTGAATGCGTACCATCCTGTATGTGGCTATCAAGTAGTGGGGAATATCTGTAGTTCTGTCAGTACTTGTCATTTCTGCTCCCCAATCAATGGACTAGCCGTACTGCTTTGCCTTAACCATACCACTTTGCCCTATCCGTACTGCTTCACCCTAGCCGTAGCCCCTAGCTTTACCACTCCGCCCTAGCCATGCAAGTCTACCCTAGCCGTACTGCTTTACCCTAGCCATACTGCTCCATTAATTTATGGACCTACAACTGAAGGAGATCCATGAATTGCTCTCTTTTATAACAGAAAAAGATAAAATTCTGTCTCTGACCGAACTAAGTATAGTGATCAAGATGGCAGGAAAAAAACCTGCGGGTTGAAAAGGACTAATCCCACCCAGTTTACTCAATGAAAATGCACACGTGTAGATATTTATATAATTACGTTGCTCCCTATGTCATAAATACTCACATTTATAATAAAAATATAAATCACAAACCTTTCTGTACATTATAAAGCAAATTAGTTTGCTAATGGCAAATTTTGTTAGTTTTTAATAGCATTTTTTTAATGTTGAGTTGTTTGTGTAACTAATATTTCTGAGAACATCTTGTTTTATTCCTCAAAACAAACCAGTGTGATGTCATTAACCTTGCTATGCTGACCTGACAGATCCTGTATGACAGTCCCAAGGCAAGGCGAGAGGTGGAGCTTCACTGGCGAGTGTCAGGAGGACCATACATCGTCCGCATCCTCAGCCTATACGAGAACATGTATCATGGGAAGAAGTGCCTGCTCATCATCATGGAGTGGTATGACCTGTCAGCACACACCACGCCTAAATCTTGTCCCATTGTGAAACCTGTGACAATGTTAGTGTTTGTAATTTTAAAAAGATATTAAAACACAATACGTACACGGTATTACATCGAGATGTGAGTAAATCACACAATAATTCCATCAAATTGACATAGTTCTCCCATGTTAGGTGGCTTTAACAGAGAATTGAATTGATTGTGGCTGCTTAGATGGTTCATCTATCTGAGCGAAGGAATGTGAAGAATGTAAGTTATTCATTAGTTTGTGAGTAATGCTGGTTCTTCCTTTAGTACATAGTAGGAACAAGGGTTGAAGTTTGTGTGTGTGATGCTGCTCCTAAGAGGGTTTTACCATAAGCGGTTAGAAACAACGATCCAATGATAATGATGAACATATTTTATGTTTTGACACATTGAATGTACTTGTATATTTAAAGAGCAAGTCACCTCAAATCAACGTGTTTTTTGCTGATAAACTGTGTAAATGAGTGTCTAAGCGTGCTGTAGACACGTGTAGTCAATAATTTGGCACTTTAGTGTGTCTGAGTTAGAATTTAAACATTCTGCCTAAAACTGTCAGGGTTGTGCCGTCGTCAGGTGCACTGCATTTGAATTCAAATCTGCCATCGCTATTGGCTAAGAGGTACACTATGATGTCATGTCATTGTGAGCCTGTGTGTGTGTGTGTGTGTGTGTGTGTGTGTGTGTGTGTGTGTGTGTGTGTGTGTGTGTGTGTGTGTGTGTGTGTGTGTGTGTGTGTGTGTGTGTGTGTGTGTGTGTGTGTGTGTGTGTGTGTGTGTGTGTGTACTTGTTAGCGGCTCCACCCTCTCGGTCTGCCAGACAACAGCATTTGTTGCTTTTTTTCAAACAGGATGTGGGAGTGGAGTAAAGCCTGGTTCGTGCTTCTCCGTCAGCTCCGCAATGGACAGACACGCACGGATTGACGGAAGCATTTTGCTCTCATACTTCTCCGTCTCCTGGAGAGTGTTGCAAAGCAATTGCCCGGCAGGTCAACAGAGGGCGTAGCGCTGTTCTGTGGTATCCTGTCGTGTATCCGGTCTGAGATAGTGTGTTTATATTATGTTTTTTTGTATATAAGAGACTTTTTAACACAGACAAATTTGTCTTTCATTCTCCTCCACCTCTTCATGCGCTCGCCACCTCCAAACCCACGTTTCCTGTCATTTCTGTCCACCAATAAAATGCTTGCTGCGCATCTTTTCACTCCTCCAGTCACGGGGAATTAAACGTTCATATTTTTAGAGTTTTTTCGCGAGGTACTCTTCAAGCTTCTCCGTGTCTGCCGCTAGTTATCCTCGGCTCCCTTTATGTTTTTGAGGGCGCAATGCCGGCGCTGTAGACGACAACGGCTTCCTGACCAATCACAAGCTTGCGTTGTCCGTCTCGACTGACGGATGTTTAGAAAAGAGAGCTCGACTCCGTCCGTCCTTGCGGAGCTCTCCGGCAGGCACGCAAGGACGTTGCGTGTCTCCGCACTGACGCAGACGGAGAAGCATGAATCAGGCTTAAGACTCTGGTAGGGGGTGACTTGCTCTCTAAACTCTGGAGGTTTTACTGGTCTTGTTGTTCTTGGAGTAGCTCAAGGCAGAGGAATAGAGAGTGACTGAAGGGAAGTGACACTTTCTGTTCATGGGATTTTCAAACAGGGACTGATTCTCATCATCACATTTATTTATACAGCCACTATTTGTGGAGTATGTGCATGTGTGTGTGTGTGTGTGTGTGTGTGTGTGTGTGTGTGTGTGTGTGTGTGTGTGTGTGTGTGTGTGTGTGTGTGTGTGTGTGTGTGTGTGGCAGCGATAAGTAGCAGAGTTTCCACTGAGATCTCTAGGCCTCAAACAGGACTCCCTGTTTCTGTTTGAACCACACAGGGCCTGTTGTCATTAGTACCCGTTTCAGAGTCGAGATAGGGGATTACCCATAACTCACAGAGAGGAAATTCAGTTTAAAGACCTAGGTACAGGTGATCATTGGATTATTAATTATTCTGGCTTCATCCCATAGAGAGGAGCTGGAAACTGTGAAAACCATGTATAACTCAAATGTTCTCATAAGTGTTTTCTCTATGCACTGTAGAGGTGATACGGGTTTATTCTCCATTACTTGTGTGAGGTCCCTCAGATAGAAGACAGTCAACTCACATCCATCCATCCATCTATCTGCTCATCTGGGAACCACAAAACATACTTTTTAACCTGATGCAGACAAATAGTTACAAGCAGAAATAAAATGTGGATATTTGTGACTGATTTAGATGAGTTAAACTCATCTAACTAGTTCATCAACTCTACCCCGAGTAGATACAAAATACAGGTTTTGAATGATCCACCAGCTGATAAAAAAGAAAATCAGATTCAAACCAACCTGGCCCCATGGTAAAAAGTGACCAGCCCCTGAAACACCCTGCACCCTGGTAACAACTGCAATCAAGCATTTGTGAGATGAATTATTTGACTTCATCTGACCACATTGGAAGGTTCTCTATCATGAATGACCCATTTCAGGTCAAAGGTCAGACATTCTCCTTTGGGATTTTCTGCCAGAGAGCAGTTACAGCCAGAAATTAAATGTTGAATTAACTTAACCAAGTTATGTCAGCTGGTTGCACAAAACCTAGCTGATAACCTTGTTATACGTTTCTATGTTGAAGGTAAATGTTTATTATTCTTTACTGGGTTTAGTGGAACCCGCGTAATTTGGTTAAGTTAATTCAACTTTTCATTTCTTAATGTAGTTTGATCCCAGTGCGATATTCCATCGATACAGCGAATTGAGATTTATCGTTTCCCGATATCTCATATTTAACCACAACACCATTTGGATTTGATTTTCTAAATGAAACAATGATACGAGAAATTTGAACACAATAATTTTCCAAGGGAGAGACAATTTCTTCACCAACTGTTTTCTTTCTGCTTGCCGTTCCTCGTGTTTGGTGATGTGCAGGAACGAGTGGAGAACAGCATGTCCGCAGAACTTTAAAATAAAGCTATTTTCAAAATAAAAGCATGTTTGATAAATAGTTATTTTGCATTCTGGATTGATGTATTAATGTTGACCATATAATTGATGTATTGATAAATGGTTACGCTCCTGTACCACCACCATGATTGACTGTTGGTATGATGGTCTTATTTTAGTTTTATTCTAAATGTAGCAGGACACAAACCTTCTGAAAAGTTCCACTTTTGAGGGTCTATAGTATGTTTGAGATGCTAGTCTCAACCCTAACCCCTTGTGTTCTCTTTGGCCAGGAGTGTCTATTTCCTATTGGTGAATCATGACCTCTGACCTCACTCTGAACCAAGTGATGCTTATATTGCTTCAGATCTTGTTCTGGGTATATTGGTCCTTCGTTTTTTTCTAGAACAAATCATGATGTGTTGCTTTTTGAGATCTTTTTGCCTACTTAATCCCGTTAGACAGATTCTGTTCAAGCGAGTTATTGACTCTACAGATCCTGTCTGGGTGTGGTTGGTGGAACTAGACAAAGTTTTCCAAGCGTGTCATTAATTACAGTTGATCCATGATTTAACGATGGGGGCAGTTGATTTTGTTAAACATAGAACCAGGTTGGTTTGAATAGTTTTATCCATCAACAAATGAAATCATTTGTGAGAACTGGTTCTGTTTTTATGCCGGTTAAAATGTTTCTTCGGTCCCTCTGTGCAGCATGGAGGGAGGAGAGCTGTTCAGCAGAATCCAGGCCAGAGGAGACCAGGCCTTCACAGAAAAAGGTGAGAAGGAGTGGGAGAGGATGAAATGTGTGATAAACACACAGCGACGTCTCAGACAGCATTAGGCAGGAAGGGACAGGGTAAACAGGTTTGTGTCTCACAGCCAGGGGGGATTTAGGAAAGACATAAAGAAGGCAGCTGTTTGCTGCTAAAGCAGCAACAAAAATTCATTTGAGTCACCTCTTCATAAGCTGTTCAAAACAACATGCAAGTGTGACTTTAGGGTGGTTAAAAAGAAACTGAAACTTGCACCCAAATGCAGCTGTGACTCTGCTTTTAGTAGTCCCTGTACCTTTATTTGAGTTGTCCAACACCAGGAATTCTTCTGATTTGAGAGAATCTGTTCGTGTTTCCTCCCAGAGGCGTCTGAAATCATGAAGGACATTGGCACAGCCATCGAGTTTCTCCACAGCATCGACATCGCACACAGAGACATCAAGGTACCTTCTGATCAGACGTCAGCATCCAACTCATGGAGCTTTGTCTCAGTTCTGTTTCTGTGATTCTCTTCAGCCAGAGAACCTGCTGTACAACTCTAAAGACAGAAATGGAGTCCTGAAACTGACAGACTTTGGCTTTGCTAAGGAGACGACGCTACACAACCCTCTGCAGACCCCGTGTTACACGCCATACTACGTTGGTAAGCTGCTTCAGGTCAGAGAGGGTTAAAACAGCATAGCTTTTAGAGAAGAAGTGTTCAGACTGCTCATTTTTTCTTATTCATCTTTTTTTGTTCTTCTTCTATGTGTGTTACCATTGATAAGCTCCTGAGGTTTTGGGTCCGGAAAAGTACGACAAGTCATGTGACATGTGGTCTCTGGGTGTCATAATGTACATTCTGTGAGTACTGTGTGTGCTGGGGAGGACAAAGATGTAATCATAAGAATCATAGAGTAATAAAGACCAACAAAAAATATCTAGGTCAGCTACTTCACAGTTTTTGTCTCTGCAGGCTGTGTGGCTTCCCCCCATTTTACTCCAACACTGGTCAGGCCATTTCTCCTGGGATGAAGAGGAGGATCAGGATGGGCCAGTACGAGTTTCCTAATCCAGAGTGGTCGGAGGTGTCACAGGAAGGTAGGAGGTCCAAAGCTGTCATGAATGAACTTGCAGCACGAGTTATAAACTAACTTCTTCTGTTCTCTCTGCAAAATTTACTTTAACAACAAAATTTGTTGAGTTTAATTTGGTTTAAGAGTTACCTAAAGCTAAACTTTACCAAACAAGCATTTTTCTCATTTATATATACTTACCTAAAGGATTATTACACCTGTTCAACTTCTCTTTAATGCAATTTATCTAATCGATCAATCACATAGCAGTTGCTTCTGTGCATTTAGGGGTGTGGTCCTGGTCAAGACAATCTCCTGAACTCCAAACTGAATGTCAGAATGGGAATGAAAGGTGATTTAAGCAGTTTTGAGCGTGGCATGGTTGTTGGTGCCAGACGGACCGGTCTGAGTATTTCACAATCTGCTCACTTACTGGGATTTTCACCCACAACCATTTCTAGGGTTAACAAAGAATGGCGTGAAAAGGGAAAAGCATCCAGTATGCTGCAATCCTGTGGGCGAAAATGCCTTGTTGATGCTTGAGGTCAGAGGAGAATGGGCCGACTGATTCATGCTGACAGAAGAGCAACTTTGACTGAAATAACCACTCGTTACAACCAAGGAATGCAGCAAAGTATTTGTGAAGCCACAACAAACACATCCTTGAGGTGGATGGGCTACAACAGCAGAAGACCCCACCGGGTACCACTCATCTCCACTACAAATAGGATAAAGAGGCTACAATTTGCACAAGCTCACCAAAATTGGACAGTTGAAGACAGGAAAAATGTTGCCTGGTCAGATGAGTCTCCATTTCTGTTGAGACATTCAAATAGTAGAGTCAGAATTTGGCATAAACAGAATGAGAACATGGATCCATCATGCCTTGTTACCACTGTGCAGGCTGGTGGTGGTGGTGTAATGGTGTGGGGGATGTTTTCTTGGCCCACTTTAGGTCCCTTAGTGCCACTTGGGCATGGTTTAAATGCCATGGGCTACCTAAGCATTGTTTCTGACCATGTCCAGCCCTTCATGACCACCATGTACCCATCCTCTGATGGCTACTTCCAGCAGGATAAGGCACCATGTCATAAAGCTCCAATCATTTCAAATTGGTTTCTTGAACATGACAATGAGTTCACTGTACTACAATGGCCCCCACAGTCACCAGATCTCAACCCGATAGAGCATCTTTGGGATGTGGTGGAACAGGAGCTTCGTGCCCTGGATGTGCATCCCACAAATCTCCATCAACAGCAAGAGGCTATCCTATCTGGATGATCCCGAGGAGGCATGGGTCAGATGAGACCAAAAAATAACTTTTTGCTCTACAATCCACTCGCCGTGTTTGGAGGATAAAGGATGAGTTTCATCATGATTTGGCGCCATATAAATAAACTTGAATTGAACTGAATTGAATTGAATTGAATCCCAGGAACAACATCCCTACTGTGATGCATGGTGGTGGAGACATCATGCTTTGGGGGTGTTTTTCTGCCAGGGGGACAGGACGACTACACTGTATCGTGAGGTTTTAAGCAACACCCTCCTTTCCTGAGTCAGAGCATTGAAGATAGGTCACAGCCTGGTCTTCCAACGTGACAAGGACCCAAAGCACACGGTCAGGAAAACCAAGGAGTGGCTCCATAAGAACACATTAAGGTTCTAGACTGCCTAGCCAGTCTCCAGACCTAAATCCAAAAGAAAATCTTTAGTGGGAGCTGAAACTCCGTGTTGCTCAGCGACAGCCCTGAAACCCGAAAGATCTAGAGATCTTTGTGGAGGAGTAGGCTAAAATCCCTGTTGCAGTGCAGCAAACCTGGTCAAGAACTACAGGAAGCTTTTGACCTTTGTGATTGTAAACAAAGGCTTCTGTATCAAATATTCACACTAATTTTCTCAGGTGTTCAAATACTCATGTATAGCACAAATTCATTCTGAAAAAAATCACACAATGCGATTTCCTATTTTTACATGCTGTCTCTCACTGTGAGATAATAATAATAATGCATTGAACTTATGTAGCACTTTTCTAGACACCCAAAGACACGTTCACACACTCACATTCACACACTGCTAGTGATGGTAAGCTACTTGTAGCCACAGCCGCCCTGGGGAGGTCTAACAGAGGCGAGGCTGCCATTTGGCGCCGTCGGCCCCTCTGACCACCACTAACACAGGCAAGTTGGGTGAAGTGTCTTGCCCAAGGACACAACAGCAGGATACCCCTGGCGGGAGCTGGAATCAAACCCATGACCCTCCGATCATGAGGCAACCCGCTCTACCACCTGAGCTACTGCTGATGTGAATCTCGGACCCCTCCATGATTTCTAAGTTGGAGAACTTGCAAAACTGCAGGGTGTTCAAATACTAATGTTCCTCACTGTATATGGAGATTAAACTCCCTCATAGCATAGGCTACTGTATATCTTCAGTTATTTATGACATCAAAAATAGATTTTATTGTAAATGGGAAAAACAGCCTTTGCTTGTGTGAAAGAACCTTGTGAACCTTGAGTTTTCTTGAGGAAAATGCTGCATCATGAACAGGAAACCAGATAGCTGCACTGAATGACTCTGCAGGTTAACAGGGTGACCTAGTAACTTTGGTGGATTCTGATAAAAAAAACTCATCAAAGATTTAACCGTCCAACTCATCACAGTGCATCAGATAATATCTGTACAGGTTTCTGTCTCTGAACTTGTTTTTTTAACACGCAATGTTTTTCTCTCTGTGTAGCATTGTTATATGGCGTGCCAATTGTAAAGTAACAAATACAGATATGGCCGTTTTAAACTCAACATTTAGTTACATTTAATCAAATTAAATGTGTATAAGCTTACCACCTTTGAATTTTAACACCTAGATGCAAATTTGTGTGTAGACTTATTTTTGAATATTTAGATTTAACTTTGTATATTAAGTTTTTTTTTTCACGTTTGAACTGACACTGTGCAACTTTTTCATATTTTGAAATCATTATAGCCAGTATGTGCTAAAGTGTGCCTTCACAGGGTTAATGAAAGGCCACCTGGCCCCTATTGCCTCCTTTGGCCAGAATATTCCACTTGCAACTTAAGAGCACTGGTCTGGTCTGTTGGACTTAGAAATTTGGAGCTGACATGTACTGCAGTCTGCTTCTAGCACATTTCCTGCTCGTTTTAGCTCAGGAAAACAGCTGATTTGTTTAGTTTAGTGATGAATCGCTCCTGTAGACACGAATTAAGGATGGGTGTTAAAAGATGATCGCACAGCGAGGAGACACGTTTTTCTTCGGTTCTACTAAACGGACACTAGAGGGTGCTAAAAGCAATCCAAAACTACCTAGTCGCCATTTAAAACAAAGATTCAGCATTTTTGGGCAAAATAATGTCTACGTACAACAACTGATGTTATCTTTGGGATGCTTTTGCTCTCAGCTAAAGATCTGATCCAACAGCTACTGAAGACAGACCCTAATGAGAGAATGGCCATCACTCAGTTTATGAACCACCCCTGGATCAATGTAAGCATATGTGTGAACGAACATTATCATACATCTCTGCCATGTTGCTTCTAACGTTTAAACTATTGTGCGTTTGTGTAAATTTGTCCAACAGCAGTCCATGGTGGTCCCCTCTACTCCACTTCACACCACCCGGGTCCTAAATGAAGAGAGAGAGCTGTGGGAAGACGTGAAGGTTAGAGGAAGGTCAACACTGACCCCCACTGGTCACATGTTGCTAATACAATCTGTCACTGACCTGCTTCAGTGACCTTGTATTTGTCCCGAGAAGACTCGGTCAGAGTTTTTTTTTTAGTCCTGGCTCATAGTGGAAGCCCCCTTTTAAAAGTGTCGGACATAAATCTTGAAGATGAAGATGTTACCCCTTTTTCCTCCTAATTTAGAATAACCTTTATTGTCCCAGTTACGTGAACAATTTAAAACAGTTAGGTAGCGCCTCTGTGCATAAAGAAAATTATTTTAACAATAATGATAATAAAAAGTAGTCAGTCTATATGCAGGGTTGTGTAAAGAAAGCTTTCAGAGGAAAATATAGCACAATTTTGTGATCATGTACTGTAATCCATTAAGCACAAATATTGCAGAGAATAAACGTTTACAGAAAGAAAGAAATGTTGCTCTGACTAGTTTTAAACCGCATTTTTTTAATATCGCGCCGCAGAATTGTGGATTACAGGTTCTTTTAATTATCCAGTCCTCGGTGGATGTCTAAAATCGTTACCAGTCCTATCCATAAGTAGACATCTCATGTATAAAATCAAGTACGTGAATAAAACGAATTAAAGTTTATATTTGAAATGGCTATGTTAATGGACACCAGGTTTTAGAAGTCATCACAGCCTGAAACATGAGCCTTTTAAACATTTTACAGAGCATGTGCCACTCATTCATGCAAATAAATAAGACACTGTTTGCTCCCAACAAGTCACTGTGAGGGTAAGTCCACCAGAGTTGGACCAAATCTCTCTGTTGGGTAATCACATATTTTTCTGCAGACTAATTGATGAGTAGAGTTGCACATTCCTTCACAACAACCAAATATCTAAGTCTGAGGTGATAAGGTATGGAAAAAAAACATTATTCACTATGATAAGTCCACAATGAGCCAGCAGCTGTGTTGCAATGACTGCTGGCGTGTTGCACAGGATTTTTGTCAAACAGAAACACTAGCTGTTAGGATCATGACTGATAAAATCAGAAATGGGTCTGATGTCTGCTTTGGCTGCAGTTTCTTTTGACTTCAGCTCTAAAAAACTTGACTTGTCAACCGGTTTGTGAATAAAAGGCCCCTATTGGGGCAGCAGTAGCTTCACAGGCTGAGCGGGTTGTCCAGTAATCGGAAGGTTGCAGGTTCGATCCCGGCTCCGGACAGAGAATTCTGTTGTTGTGTCCTTGGGCAAGACACTTAACCCACCTTGCCTGCTGGTGGCGGTCGGAGGGACCGGTGGCACCTGTGCTCGGCAACCTCGCCTCTGTCAGTGTGCCCCAGGGCAGCTGTGGCTACATCGTAGCTCATTACACTCAGTGTGTGAATGTGTGTGTGAATGGATGAATGATACACTGTAGTGTAAAGCGTTTTGGAGTCCTTACTCTGAGAGGCGCTATAGAAGTGCGGGTCATTTATCATTTATCATTTAGTCTGATTAGTCCACACCCTATGTTTTTTTTTCTTTCTTTTTTTTGCATTTTTCCCTGCATAAACAAATCTGGATTGTGGAATGTGTAACAGTCCACGGAACACACTCCATGCATTATCTTTCATGTCAGCGTTTTAAACCAAGATCAATTTTTGTTGAGTCAAACGCTGAAAATAACATGATGCACAATGTCACACAATATTGCAAGATCTCACATTAGCGGTTAGCATTCCGAGTATTTGTCGTGACTCTCAGCTGCTTCCACGTGAAATCCTAGCTCATCACGACCGAGTTTAAAAGAGCCACATCATAGAAAATCCACTTTTGGTGCTTTGTACCATGTGATGTTGTCATTTCTTCATGAGAAATACCCCCAAACTCTTTTTTTGGCTGCATTCATGCAATTTCCCACCTCCGCTTCCATTTGCATCCAGGAGAAAGTAGCCCACTTGCTTCTTCGGGTATTTCTCCTCCACTTGAAGCTAGTCTCAGTTCTGAAACTTGCCCCCTCTGGAAGTAGGTCTCTAATGCCCACTTTCTCCCAGCTGCAAGTATAGAGGTTGATTTCATGCGGCAGTTGAGAATGTGATCTTCATGTCACAGATGACCTCTTTAAACCTCCACTGGTACCAGAGTGGATATTCTGACAAATGACTTCTGCACTGTGGACAAAACACTACCATAAAAGCCATGCTACCACAAAGATGCCCGTAATGACCAGCACAGGATATGTGTGTTAGGCGACTAACATTTCAAAACCAAGTCATATACCAGACTGGACTACCAAGGCCAATACGACAGCAGGGTCACCTAAGACGTGCGTTTTGTCAGAGTGGGCGTGGGTGGAGCTTCACTAAAATTAATCGTTTAAATTTCGGGGTTTTAATTCAAGCTGATGAAAATAAGTTGTATTTAAGATAAATGACATCTAGTGCCAGTGGTAATATTTGATCACATTCTGTGCCTACTTTTGCTCTGACAGATTTAAAATATGGAACCTTTAAGGGACTTGCAAAACCAAAAGCAGCAAAGCTGACACTGAGCTCTGAGCCCTAACCTATTCATTTGGATTGCATTCTCAAAAATGGTTTTGAACCGCACCGAGCAAAGTGCAAGCTCAGTGCACTGGTTGAACTTTGTCACCATGAATAGACACGTCAAAGTGCTCCCCGCTAAACAAAAGTAGCAGGTCATTTTAGAAAAAAGCAGCATCCCTATACCACGCTGCTCTTCAGGCCATGTACAAACACAAGTATGATACACACACACTCAATGGCTAGACTGGGTGGGGGTGGGGGGGGGGACATTTAGAAACATGCATTTGCAATATTAGTATTATACTTTGTTGATCTGCACCTCATCCAACTCTTTCTGACCCCTTTCAGGAAGAGATGACCAGCGCTTTAGCAACCATGCGTGTGGACTACGACCAGGTGAAGATTAAGGACCTGGACACATCCAGCAACCCTCTTCTCAATAAGAGACGTAAGAAGGCCGCCACAGGGACCAAAACAGGGTCTACGGTCTGCCAGAGTCAGTGAGGCAAGGAGGGTTGAAAATTCACGCTGAACTGATGAAGATGAGCAGCTCTGGATGAGGGAGGGAAGGTTTATATTTAGGATGATATTATTCAAAAGGCTGCCTTGAACTTTTGTGAGCCAAGAGTTTAAAAAAATACTCCAGTAGATGAAGTACCTGTGTCAGAATGGACTTTTCTTCTACCAAGTTTGGTGTCAGTGATAAAACAGTCCTCTCACTTTTTTTGACTAGTCTGTTCAAAAGTTTTTGTAGCAGTAAGGTTTTCGTGGATCTGGATGCTGAGTTTCCTAAAATCTCTAGCAAATTCTGTACGGTTCTGGAAAACGACAGAAAGAATCCCAACTCAGAGAGTGGAAAACACTCTTTACTGCCCGCCTTGTCTTAATACTACTTTCCTTTCAGGACTCAAATGTATCCTCTTCTCTGAGAGGAAGAACCAATAAAAAGGCATCAAAATCACAATCAAATGAGCTTTTCTTAATCATTTCATGTCATAATGAGGAAGTTTTCTAATTCAAATGGAGCAATGTGGATGTTGGGAAAGTTTATTTGAGAAATTTCGCACGCGCGTATGTGTGTGTGTGTGTGTGTGTGTGTGTGTGTGTGTGTGTGTGTGTGTGTGTGTGTGTGTGTGTGTGTGTGTGTGTGTGTGTGTGGTTGAGAAAAACACTTCTAGTAAACAGCTGCAGCCTCCTTTCACAATAATGCTTGAGAAAAACAGTGTGGCTTTAAATTACAGAACTTTATTTGGTAAGTGCGAAGACTCCAGCAGATTCATCTACAACCTTTTATGTTTTGGAGTTAGAGCAATATAAGGAAAGCCAAAAATGGCTGTAATTCAGAAATAATCACAGATATTGAGCTAACATGGTAGTTGCTTAGTTCTTTACAAATTTAGCGCTAATACATCTTTCATAATCTTGAGATGAAATGAAAATTTGACAAAATGATTTACTAGTTTAATACTCTTGCCTGTTTGTTATACCGTTATGTGGGCTTGGGAACCGTTGCCTTCCTTTGTGAGGTCCACTCCTGGCTTTGTCAGAGCCGATATAAATAGCAGCGGTGGAGCTTTTTTTTGCAGCCATTGACATGCCAGTGGCTCTGAAAGGTCAACATTATTATGTTTAGGTGAAAAGAACCTTTCCCCCACTTTGATCACATGGTCCTGCCATATTTAGGGTACAGGTTAGAGATCACGACAAACCCTCTTGGCTCCCATGCTGGAAAAAAGCTTCAGCGTTGATGTGAACGGACTTTTCTGGGAAGCTAGAGAGACGGAAATGTGTAGACTGTTGTAAATGATCTGTTTAACTTTAAAGAGTTTTTGTTTTTTGTCTCTTGGTGATTTGTCAGAACAAGCCCAGCCATGATTATGCCACTGTGGCATTACTATTCCAGAGGTAATTCACCTTCTTAGCGGTTTGTGTACTTGTTAATTGATGCGTTGCAAAGAATCCTCAGTTCAAACTGCAGCTGCTTTTACCTGAAACAAAGTCACATGACAGTAGCTTTGAATGCTATTTCTAATTTTCCTTTACTGGAACATTATAATAGCGGGACGGCAAAACAAGACCAGTTGGACTGGTATGTTACACACAGTTTGGTGTGAGCTACGTGGGGAGTGTCACATGGGTGGAGCTGAGACATTGATCAGTTTGGCCTTTTGGGAGGAATGCGTTAAGGGTCGATGAAGAGCTAGCTGCGTGACCCACAACTGTTACTTGTCCTTGCCCAGGACAGTGTCTACCTTTGAGTCGTTTTCAATAACAACCATTAGCTTCTTCATTTCTTTCTTCTTTGAAGGGTTTTATGTATGACTGCCCGACACATCCCACCTATTTGTAGCCTGATTATCACAGGCTGTTTGTGATGGTATAATATTATTACTGCCATTAAAATATCCTCAAGTCCTTGCATGGACGATCACATGATGCCCTTGTTATCTTTAGAGGATCGGCATGCTAGCAGTTTTCTGCATGTTTCTACCTCTTCTGAGCACCAACAAGCTAGCCTATACATATACATCCCATAAATGTAAGTAGGACCTGCAGAGCAACATCTTTTTGCTGTTGCTATGGTCGGTCTAGATTTCTAGGCTACCAACGAGCAGTAACACCTACACATTTGATCTGAAATAGTGGAGTGTTTTAACATCTTTTAATTTCTGTTTTATTTCTGGGAGGGAATAAAAAATATTAATTGGTGATTATATATCAAGGTGAGCTCCTGGAAATTTCACAACTGTCCTGGTTTTAAACCTGCGTAGAGCCAAGCTTTGTGCTTCAACAAGGGATGTTAAAAGATTTAAACTAAAGTAAAACAATTTGAACCTGCAACTTATTTTGTGTCATTATTTGGGTCACAATGCACAAGTGATGAGTGACAAAATAACAAAATCTATCCATGTTGCTTTAATAGATTTCAGGAAGAGCAGCAGCAGCTAGATCCTGCAAACAGGACTTATTGAACATATGCTCATTAGCAATTAGAGACATCTTTGGATAAATACAGTACATACATTGAGGTTTGGCTGACTGCTAATCTTATGTGTGTGTAAATGTAGAGGACACCACAGAATGCATGTGAGAAACTTTCAAGCTAACTACCAAACCTAGAAGCAATGACTTAGTCTGGATTTTCAACAACAGAACCTGGACACCTCACAATCACAGCGGTCTGGAGTCTGAGTCACTGAGGCCATCAATCTGACATTCAAACGTCCTAATTCACAAAACAAAAAAGGGGTTTCACTTGGTCAAAAGCTTTGAGACTGACACAAATATTCTTTATCGTGATCCCAAATGTAAAGAGTCCAACCCTTTCCGTACAGGTGTGGCATCCTTCCCCAGATGTCTAATGGGAGGAGGCAGGTAGATTTCATCACATCTTTTTTCGTAAAAGCCTTCCTCCTTACCTAATCCTCCTAGCTGACTCACACACACACACACACACACACACACACACACACACACACACACACACACACACACACACACACACACACACACACACACACACACACACACACACACACACACGTCCAAGGGGGTGTGTATAGTGGTGTGTACAGTGAGCATCACTTCAGTGGTCGGCAGGCTGCTGCTGCTGTGGTTGGAGGGACGCACGCAGCGCTCCATCAGACACTCCAACGATGAGAGGCTGCTCCAGCCGATCCAAGTCCGCGCTGAGCCAGGGCAAGGCGGGTAAGACGAGTCGCATTCACCGCTCTATCTGTTTAGCGTAGCCTGTCTGTTTCCCGTGTTTTATTTATTTCTAACAAAACAGTGGCTTTAGACGGAGCCAGGATGAGATCGACGCGCGTCGAGAAACCCACGAGGACGTAAACAAGACTGGCGCTTTCACCTTTCCCCTACATTCGAGCATCAGGCTGTAATCTCTGCTGTTTATGGGCAAACAGGCTTGGCTGTGCTGAGACGTGATGGGGATGCAGGGAAAGGAGTGGAGGCAGTTAGTTTCATAATAATAACAATAATTATGATGACGATGCGAATCCAAAGAGACAGGATGACATATTCCAGTAAATGTTTATGTTGGTTCTGTATGGATTTATCAACGCGATCGTGTTGCAAACGAGCTTTGTTTTCTTTTTGAGGCTGCACAGCTGACTGCTGCTGCAGTGCAACAGACGCACATGCACACACGCGCGCGTACACACACACACGCACACACTAATGTGGATTAACCGAGAAGTGTTAAGTTATCACAGATTTCTATATTGGGAAGTGACTTGTTCATGCTAAGGGCAGCTAGTTGCAATCAGATCCTGGCAGCTGTTCTGGAGGAGGAAGGAGAGAGGAGGAGGAGCTGCAGCTCTGCTTCCTGTTCATGTGCTGGTGTAAAGACACCTCACTCACTTCATGCTTAACAGACTAAAAACTGCATGCAAATGTTACCAAAAGCTTCACTGAAGAGAAAATTTAACAGAGAATACTAACTAACTAACAGCAATGTTTTTCTGTAAAACTGGAAATCTGAAAACACGCCTTGCTGGTTCCATTCTTCTGCATGGACCTGATGAACCTGACATATATTTTAGTCTAGGAGCAGATTTGAAATGAAGCAGCTATATTTAATTAGAAAACCTCCATCTCACTACATTTAGGTCATGAGCCCTGTTGCTCCTTCACAAAGACGGACTCTGAGCTGAATATAATCAGCACATCACAGATAGGCCTACTAACCTGAATGCGAATCTAACTGAGTTATGACTAATGTTTTTTAGGTGTTGCTGCATTTCACTCATTAAACTTAGTTTATTTTCACTCCGAATGTGGAGACATTAAATAAAACATGTCTGGCATATTGTTACGAACAGTGATTTTTGACATTTGAGATGTCAGTGTTTATTCTGGTAGGAAGTCTGAGACAACTCATTGAAAGTAGGGGAGAGTACAATGGTGCCACCTTATGGACTTCATCTACAATGAGAGAAATCTACCATCACTGACAAACGCCCGTGTTCCTGACTGAGCTTCAGAATATTTAACTAATAAAAATGTTTTTAGTGATTTCTCAAAGTCAATCATAATTGCAACAATGAGGTTTTAGTTTTTTCCCCTCAATTCCAAATAACCCTGAAAGGGAAACAGCCTCACCGGACTGGAGTTTGTTAGGCATTACATTTAAAACACCCTAATTTTATTTTACTTTGTGTCTTTATATTCACTTTCTCCAGTCTTCAGTAAGCACTTAAAAATATTTAATTGTAAAAAAAAAAATTGAAGAATATTTTTTGTATGAAAATTCCAATGAAAATTTATCTAGTCCTTATTATTGATTAGTTAATTCCAGAAATTCAAATTTGATGTTTCTTAGACTTACATTTCTGCATGACAGGCATGAGCAATCAAGTTTGGATCAAGTTGAGCAGTATTGAGCCCAATCAAATCCTGCTCATTTGATCATGTGACACAGTGTGTTTATGCAGACCCACCTGATGCATTACAACCACATTCATCATATAGACGTGACAACATTGTATGTGTAGATGCAACGTGGACTGTTGAGCTTGTGTAGTGATCACACACACACACACACACACACACACACACACACACACACACACATCCAAGGGGGTGTGTATAGTGGTGTGTACAGTGAGTATCACTTCAGTGGTCAGCAGGCTGCTGCTGCTGTGGTTGGAGGTACGTACGCAGCGCTCCATCAGACGCACTCTCCAACGATGAGAGGCTGGATGGGTCCCCAATTGCTCCCAAGCCTTATAGTTTTACTCTCCCAGGTGGAGCATTGTAGCTCCACCTATAATGCCTTGCCTGATACCAAAACTTGGGGGGTGCTTGGGGAAAAAGGTTCACAAAAATAAACAATAAAGGATGTACAAGAATGCTTCTATACCTGCAGAAAAAGAGAGAGAGAGAGAAAAAAGGGGGGACACACAAAAATACAACAGAACAAAAAATCACTGCGTCTACTGCATGAGGATGTATAACTGTGACAGTTTTTGCCGAAAAGCACACGGTAATAATTCATAGTGCATTTTGTGCCAGCCACAGCCTTAGGTTACATGTTAAAAATGCCCAAGTGAGAGCACCATGTGAGCACCTGTGTGTCTACATGCACTTGTGTATGCAAGGTTTCTCTATAGGAGTGTTCAATAGTGTGTGTGAGGGGCCACAGACCTGCCCCTAAAGACCAGTGGAAGATGGAGGAGTTCCAAGACTCAGAGATCCAGAGGTCTCCCCTGGAGCGTGGAGACCTCAGGGAGGCCTGCCGCCGAAGAAGCCCCAACCCCCCCTCCCAAGAGGTGCAGGGGATCACCCCGGGGGGACCAACCAGCAGCCACACCAGAGCCCTATGGGATAATAATTGCAAGTGCCCAGGCCTGCCCGCAGCCGCCTACTCCAGGGCAGGCCGAGCTTGGAGCTCAGTGGCCCGGGACCCAGGGGTGTCCAACCCCAGAAGAGACCCGAAAGAGCCCATTTATTTTTGCTAAAATCATTATTTATTATGATTTTAACAAAATCTGATATATGGTATGACATGATGATTAAAAATAAGTATTATTAAATAAAATACATTTAAATATAAAAACCCAACAGGTAGGCTAAAAAAGTCAATCCCACATGATCTGTTTTCAGTAGTATGCAGGTTGTTGCAACCGTAGGCTGCACAAAAAATGGGCCTAGTTGCCCACTCTGTGTTGGCTCCAGTTGGGTTTGGAGATTGAGGAACCCATGCAATATGGCTGCGATGCTGTTACACTCTCTAGTGCCCAATGGCATGGCTACATGTTCATGTCTATGGTTACAGCAGGTTTTAGCAAATACATGGTTAACTGGTCCATGCTGTTCAACTTGATCCAAAATTGATTGCTCATGCCTGGATCAAAGCTGACAATGTGAGGCTCCAAAATTAAGCAATCCAAATAGGAACGTTTCTTTTTTATTTGAGTTTATAAATAATCAATGATCGAATTTTGAACACAATATGTTATTAACAATAGCTGAAGTTAAATTTGAAGTTTAAAATTTCTAAATACATTATTTTGTGACATGAACTTCGTATTTTAAATTCTGTGTCTTGCAAAAATTCATATTTAGTGAGACAGACTTTCTTAAACCACATTTTTAGGTCCTGTTAATGAATTTCAGAGTCTTGGCTGGTTCATGGAGTATTATGCCATGCAGGTAGCTCAGATTGTCAACATTTCATTTTGCAAGGATTGTCCATTGAAGCAAGCAAACATCTGGCAACAGGTTTCATTAAAAAACAACAGAAAACTGCGACGCTAGATTACAGAATCTCAAACATACAGTTTCAACATTGCAACAACTGGGTTTCTTAGAGCCCTCGTCACACATTAATGGTTACTTAAACTCTGACAGAAACAGCAAGGCAACATAGTTTGGAAAAAGTTAGGATTCCTCTTATTCGCATCACAAAGTTTAGAGGAACAGAAAAACGTTTGGTTGCATGCACGACACTTCTGTTATTACTTGTAAAGAAAAGTGAATTCAGCCTTTTAAAACTGATTACTCATCTTTTATTTAAAACATATATTCTGCAAAAACAAAAACATGGCATGATTGACCTGCCATCAAGAACAGGACAACCTGCTACTGGGGCAGCAGTAGCTCAATAGGTTGAGCGGGTTGTCCAGTAATCAGAAGGTTGCAGGTTCAATCCTGGCTTCGGACTGAGTATTCTGCTGTTGTGTCCTTGGGCAAGACACTCAACCCATCTTGCCCACTGGTGGTGGACAGAGGAACCAGTGGCACCAGTGCTCAGCAGCCTCGCCTCTGTCAGCACGCCCCAGGGCAGCTGTGGCTACATCGTAGCTCATCCCCACCAGCTTGTGAGTGTGTGTGTGTGTGAATGGATGAATTGGAGTCCTTACTCTCATAGGTGCTGTACAAGTGCAGGTCATTTCTCATTTATTAGCAACTATTAGCATGCTTGCATATTGCCTGCAGATTTGAAAGACTATAGTCAGGTATGTGATCCCCTAAACCTCATTAGGATGTCACATCACCCTTTTCATATGCAAAGTCAATAACCTAAACAGCTGCAGGAGGTTTTAAACTGGTTGAAGAACAAAAAAGCTACAAAGGTCAGGCTACGTAAGACAGCCTCATGCTGCAGGCCAGACAAGACAAACAAGCTCAGCAATGTCTCTTCAGGGTCCTAATCAAACTTTCACAAATAAACAGTCAGGATTCATGATGCCCTGGGGAAAGATAAGCATCATGCTAAATCATCAGAGGTTCCAGAATTGATTTATTTATATTTTATTCTTCAACAGCTGAATTATCCAAAACAAGAAGCCAGAGGTGTGATCATGGAAGAACAGAAGGAAGTGAGCATGAAAGATCTGTGTGGTTCAGAATAACCTGAGTTCCTTTAAAAAGTGTGTGCAAGGGGATCAAGAAGAGATGTGACCATCAAAAATGGATTTGAGACTAAATTGGATTCATTATTAACCCTCTGGAGACAGGCTTTGCAGATGTGCAACGTTTAAACCTACTTACTCGGTTACTCCACATTCGTATTTCATGAGCATTTTTAACTCTGAAGGACTATGTTCGTCCATTTACCAAAACTTGTTTTGAGCCTGAGAGGGTTAGATGCTTTGCAACACATGTCATTCATCCATTCACACTCAGAATAATTCATTTTAAAATTAAAATGTTTCTAACAAATGTTATGTTATTGATGTCTACTTGAATTATATTTTACATTTGCTTAAACATTTAAGGCAATGCCTTTTGAGGTGGATGTTTATGGTTTATTTTGACATGTTACCACTTCACCTGCGCTCCACTTCCTGTGAAATCTAACGTGCTTTAAATTGTTTGACTGAATAATTCTTATTCACACCTGGATTTTAAGTTTTTGTTGCTCTCCGTCGCTTTGACGTTTATTTTAAAGCGCGCGGCATTTTTTTACTTATGGTACAGGCAAAATTCCTGCTGCGCTTACACTACATTGATTACGGTAAATTGTAGGTTTCCGTAGAGGCACGTGACAATAACGCAGAAAAGAGCGAGCTCAAGTCGAGCTCGAGACCGTCACAGTCTCCAGAGAGCCGCCGCGCGGATGAAACGCCGGTCACCATCCGAGCAGCGCCACGGAAAGCTCCCCCGTGTCGGCGCTGCGGCTGCCTCCAGCTCCTCGCAGGACGGAATGGAGGACAAATCTCCAAATCCGCGGGAACTCACCCAAAACCCACTAAAGAAGATATGGATGCCGAATAAAAATGGCCTTCCAGAGAAACACATTTCTCATCGAAGGGGTGCGTATGCGACGTGGCGGCATGATGTTCGCATCTTTTTGCGGTTTATTGAATCAAACTTACTTTAGCAGCAGACACGCAACCGAACGCAAGGTTTAACCCGGCACGGTGAGCAGCGACGGGTCCACACGGTTACGTAAGGGGTTCACGTGGTGGATGCGCTGTTTAAAACCCGCAACCCGGACAGGTGAAGTTAGAATCAACCGGCTAGGGCAGTAGCTGCCATTAACAATAAAGAGCTGTTTTCCAGGTGACATCCAAAAATTCTGATTTCAGAAAGTATAACCCTGATGCCTTTCTGCTCCCTGTTTTTTGTGTCATAAATCTGGGAATCTGCAGGCTGAAACCACAGTGACCTCTGCTCTGATTTGGCAGGTCAACATTACATTTTTATGATGCAGCAAGGCAATAATAACACAGAAAGTGTAATTAAAATCTGTTTTATAACACCCTTGTTGATCATGAATGATCAATACATGCTCTGTTTTGTTTCAGTTTGTATGACCAACTGTCCGACTCTGATCGTGACTGTGGGACTTCCCGCCAGAGGAAAAACGTACATCTCTAAGAAGCTGACCCGCTATCTTAACTGGATTGGAGTGCCTACCAGAGGTAAGACCACTCCAGATGTTTAGCTGCCAGCACGAGTGAAAGGTGGGAATTAAACAAGTAGAAATTTTTACTTTTTCTTTCTCTGCAGAATTCAACGTGGGACAATACAGAAGAGAATTTATGAAGATCTACAAGTCCTTTGAGTTTTTCCGTCCAGATAATGAGGAGGGGTTAAAGATCAGAAGGTACTGAACTACTTTTGGTTCATATCAGTTCAATAAACAATGACTGTAATAGTCATAGCTGTGCTGTTTTCTGTCTTCTCAGGCAGTGTGCTTCAGCAGCGCTGAACGACGTGAGACAGTATCTCACAGAAGAAGGAGGCCAAGTGGCTGTAGGTCAAACACTGGTTGTGTAGATATGTTTATGCATTTTTCATGGTTGGCGTATAACTCAACACGCTGCTCTTGTGTTTGTAGGTGTTTGATGCAACCAACACCACCAGAGAAAGAAGGGGCACCATTATTCAGTTTGCGGAACAGAACGGCTTTAAGGTGAGTTGTTGTGGTCCAGCTCCAGGTCGGGTTGTCACTTCTGTTGATGGTCACTCCGTCTTTCCTCTTTTCTCAGGTGTTCTTTGTAGAGTCTGTGTGTGAAGACCCAGAAGTTATACAGGAGAATATAGTGGTGAGTGTCGGATTGTTTAGCCTCTGGAGGAACTGAACTTTTATTCACTCGCTGCTCTTCTGGTGCTCTGGTTCAAAGCAAGTGAAGCTGGGAAGCCCGGACTACACCAACTGCAACACGGAAGAAGCCGTGGAGGATTTTATGAAGAGGATCAAGTGTTATGAAAACTCTTATGAAACGTTAGATGAGGTTTCAGACAGGTGAGGAGGAAATCAAGTGGGAGGGATGTTTGAAGGGTTGAACATATGTCTGTGATGTGTGTGTCGTCTTCTCTCAGGGAGCTTTCCTACATCAAAATCATAGATGTTGGTCAGAGATATTTGGTCAACAGGGTGTTGGATCACATCCAGAGCCGGATCGTCTACTACCTCATGAACATTCACATCACTCCACGCTCCATCTACCTGTGTCGTCATGGAGAAAGTGAACTGAATGTCAAGGGTCGGATTGGGGGGGACTCTGGTCTCACGACGAGAGGCAAAGAGGTATGAAAAATCTCCCAAACCAATAAAAACATCTTCACAAGTGCTGCCTTTCCTTTTTTTTTTTCTATTAATAAAAACCTTTTTTGTGTGCAGTTTGCTAAGAAGCTCAGTCAGTTCATTCAGACGCAGAATATCCAAGACCTGAAGGTGTGGACGAGTCAGATGAAGAGGACCATTCAGACGGCAGAAGCTCTGGATGTTCCATATGAACAGTGGAAAGTCCTTAATGAGATCGATGCTGTGAGTCCGCAGGCCGCTGAGCAGCTGTAGTCGGTTATTTAGTGCTGAGGATGAAGCTGTTTTTGTGATTGTGTTTTCAGGGTGTGTGTGAGGAGCTGATGTACGAGGAGATTCAGGAAAACTACCCCCTGGAGTTTGCCCTGAGGGATCAGGACAAATATCGCTATCGGTACCCAAAGGGAGAGGTCAGAGACCGTATTTCTGATTTATCTAAGCTGCTATACTAGTGTTGCCAACTGTTTTTGACTGAAAGTAGCTGAAGTTCCCCCCAAAAGTCACTAGATGTCGCCAGATGACGTCACGTGCTTATTTACATATTGATGACGTCATCACGCCACATTAGCGTTCGTTTTCTCTATGGCATCTAATATATATATATATATAATAGGACTAAAAGGGAGGAAAATAAATACTATGTTATATGTTAAAGTTATTAATTAGTATGATTAAAATGGCCCAAATTGCTTTGATATGTACAATAAATTCCAAAACTACCAATAAAGTGGCATTAAAACAGATATGGTGTGGTGATCCAAACAGTTCTGTTGTAGGATATAACTCAGACCTCCTGCTCTCCTCATTCTCACAGACATTTTCCTAAAAAGCTGTTTTTTTACACCTCATAGTTTCTCAACTTCTCTGTTGTGTATTCTCTCCATCGTGATAATAACGGCGCTCCGAGCAAAAGGGAGCGGGTGTCTCATAGTATAACCATCCCTGTGTCACTGAAGGAAATTCAGATGAGCCACAGAGCTGCGTGTGTAAACGGTACGGTAGTTGAAACTCCCGATGACTTTATTTGCCAAATGCAGGAAAAACCAAAGTGTCTGACGGCTGCAGAACCAGAGATGGCAGGTTGACGCCCGCGCCGTCTCTAGTAGAAGCGTGAGCCTGCAGCAATATGAAAGCAGCAGACGTAAATCGGCGGTCTCCAGCTCTGCAGCTTCAGCGAATCAGACCGGCCGAAAACGGTTTATGATTGGTCAGTCCTCGTGCACATGCGCAGATTATCGTTCTCTTTCCTTACTCCCGGAAGAACGGTTCAGAGTGCAAACGGTTTCTTTGTTGCTAATCTGTAGGGAATATCTACATGAAAGTTCTACAGAAAGTAGCAACGGGTCCTGAGAAATGTCGCTAAGTTTGTCGCTAGGCGCTTTTTGGAAAAAAGTCGTTGAGGGGGGTCAAAAAGTCGTTAGGAACAGTGACAAAGTCGCCGAGTTGGCAACACTGTGCTATACTAGTGTTGATCGTGTAATTCTGCTCTGACCGAATAATCAGCGTGGTGATGTGTTAGATTAATTGGGTTCAGTGGGTAAATAATCTTATGATTGAATGACTTTACAATGTTTTATAGCAGTTCCACCCACTCGAACAGCTCAGCGTCCAGCAGGCTCATATCACGTTATTAGTTTGGACCTGGAGGTTCCCACCAGTAACCCATTAAACAGGAAAAGAGGTTTCCAGATCCTGACTTTGTAGTTCACAACAGATTACCATTCTCTAGTGAGTAAATATGTTTTCTGTATTACAAGAGGTCCCATTTTAGGACTGGACAAAAAGTTGGTTCTGCGACATGACCAGTAAGATACCAGTCTGCCCTTTGACCGACCTGGATTCACCATCTTATGAAAGGCTTTAATGTTCTCACATTACGCCAAATAATACCCTTTATTCTGTAAAAAGGTTATGTCCTCTTCTGTAGCCTGTTTCTGTGAAACAAACTGGGATGATCACAGCTGGTTTCTAAACACACTGTGTGTGTGTGTGTGTGTGTGTGTGTGTGTGTGTGTGTGTGTGTGTGTGTGTGTGCCTTTTGTCCATCCCGTTATCTCTTCCATAGGAAGATGGATACAGCATTAGCCTCTTGCCTAGTTACTAATGCTACCCTTATGGAGGATTCAGTTAAAGGCTAGAGAATATGTGCGGCCCATCTAATCTGTCTTTTCATTCTTTTGCCGTGCTCAGTCTTACGAGGACCTGGTGCAGCGGTTGGAGCCAGTCATCATGGAGCTGGAGAGGCAGGAGAACGTTCTAGTTATCTGCCACCAGGCTGTCATGCGCTGCCTACTGGCCTACTTCTTAGACAAGACAGCAGGTTGGTGCTTTAAGTGAATTTCAAGACGTATAATTCATTATAAAGTAGGGTTGCACAAGAAATGGCAACATTTATCCTTGCTGCAACTAGGGTTGGGCATCGAGCATCGATTGGAACTGGTTCCAACTGTTCAATTTTCCCGGAATCATTCAGAGTTTTTTATTTCGATTCCTAGAATGCCGACGGAAGAGGAATCCGCGGCCGATCTCCATGAAAAATAAACGTGATCTGCAAATTGTGATCTACACTTTTCAGAGCTGATCACTCCAGCTGTCTGTGTGCAGCACCGAGTCCCCCCTCCCCCACCCAGATATAAACAAACGCGTCTGCCGAACTTTTACTCCGTAATGTAAACTTTATCTCCTGCAGCGTAGCGGAAACTTGTTAAAATACGTCAACACGGTGGATTTAATAATAAATAGAAACATACACACACAGAGCATCAGCAGTCAGACGCAGCCACTCACCAACACTCGTGTGTGTGTGTGTGTGTGTGTGTGTGTGTGTGTGTGTGTGTGTGTGCGTGCGGCCGTGTGTGTGTGTGTGTGCGTGCGTGAGCATCAGAAGGCTGAACATTAATCTGTAGAATAATTAAAGTCATCATGCTAGAGCAGCTTCTCTGTGGTGGACCACACCAGCTTCTGCCACAATAAATAATAATAATTATAATAAATCACACACAAAGTTGTGAACATTTTAATTTCCTTACTGAACTATTTCTGTTGAGAGTTTTAATGTTTAAAATCTGTTAGATTGTTACTGACAGCAGCTACATTTAAGCCTCACTTTCTGTTCTGACTGAAGCTGCTGCAGCATGGAGGTGTAGTTCTCAGTCAACCTGGACATGATCATCCTGAGAGTTTTAGCTGAAAACAGCTGGACGTTTCTGGATATGTTGGAGACATTTAGCCTCTCATCCCAGAGGCTTCTTCCAGACTTTGGTTGTGGTCAGAAACAAACACACTGGTTGTGCTGCAAGTCTTTTTCTTTTTTTCTCCAAAACACGTATTTGTCTGAATGAAGGTGATGTTATCGTTCATAGAATTAAAATTCATGTTGAAGTTAAGATTATTTCATCAAGTAGGACCTGTGGTTAGCTAGTTCATGTAAAACATGTCATGGCTTGAAAGAATCGGAATCGTGAATCGAAACAAGGAATTGGAACTGGAATCGTTCAAAATCAAACGATGCCTAATCCTACTGCAGAATACATGACAATTTCTTTGTTGTCCTGCTGGCTTTTTAGAGCTGATGTATGTTGTGTTTGCAGAGGAGCTGCCGTACCTGAAGTGCCCCCTGCACGCCGTGCTGAAGCTGACGCCCGTGGCCTACGGTAAGGCTGCTGTTTTATTGGTGTTTGATGTGCAGCGTCAGTAGAAACAACAACTTTTCCCATAAAACAAATATCGTCTTTACTCACAGGATGTAAAGTGGAGTCTATCAGCTTAAACGTGGAAGCGGTCAACACACACAGAGAAAAACCCGAGGTGGGTACGAACACGCAACACTGAGGTTTTCTTTATTTAAAGTGGAAATGGGTCCGAAACATGTTCTGAATGTACGGGTTGTTGGGTGTTTCTCTGCAGGGTTGAACACTTTTAGATCATTCTTTGGGCCATTTTTTCTAAGCACACCTACAAGTGGAGTTCTACAACTAAATGTGCTGAATAAATGCAAATAATATTTCAAGAATAAAGTAATTTTAGATAAAAAAGAGAATAGAAAATGAAACCTGTATTGGTACGAAGACAGAATACTTTAAAGAAAATTCCAATTAATCTTAACAGTACTTCTAAAACCAGCGACGTGTACCAAAGTGATGTGCAGTCAAAACATATTAAAAATATACTTTATCACATTCTCTATAATCTGCATCTGGTTCTGAACACACCGTGTAATTACTTCAGAAGAAAGCCCAAACCTGAGTTTTCCCAGAGAAAACCAGTAACAAACTATTTAATAAGCTTTAGATGTTCTGAGATGTTTGAGACTACGACACCTCCTGGGTAGTAATAATAATAATAATAATACATTTTATTTAAAAGCGCCTTTCAGGACACCCAAGGTCACTTTACAGAAAACACGTAATAAAATACAATAAAACAATAATAAAACCCAAAGAAGAAAAAACAAAGAGAGAAACAGTTCAATAAAATCAGAGGTTGTAGGCAGATTTAAACATGTGTGTTTTGATTTTTGATTTTGGTTTTAGTAGCTGCTGTTATTTATACTTATAGCCGATGAAGTTTAATCATAAAAGTTGTTGGCAGCGATAAGGCGCCAGACTCCAAACAACAAACTTCATGAGCTAAACCTTTCATGTGCGAGCATGGATTTCATCTTTCCTTGTGCTTTTTTTTTAATCCTTATCCTGTTTGTTTGTTTTTCATCAAACAGAACGTAGAAGTGACTCGGATGTCAGAGGAGGCTCTGATTACTGTGCCAGCTCATCAGTGACACAGTTAGCCCTCCCCATCACCCCCCCCCCCCCCCATCCATTACACCTGCAGAACCATTCACTTTGAGCTCATCACCTATTTTTGTCTTTTTGTTGTTTTTCTCTTTCCTCTCATATCCCAAGAAGAGCTGGTGGTGGTGATTAACTGGAATCCAGTTTCTAATGTATTGATTATAATCTAGTCACAGATGTTCTCTCGTTTTTTGGAGAATGAATGAATGAATGAAAATCAAAAGAACAGACGCTCCTCGGCCAGCTGTGAAGCTACGAGGCGCCAGCACCTTTATCTATGGAAGCTTCAATCACATCTGTGTGTGAAACGGATTTAAATGTATTCATGTTTTACTGGTTTTAAGCTTTTTGTTTGCTCAATCGTTCTAAAGCACTTCTCAACATTTCAGATCAACTGTTTGGTTTATTTCTAGGATTTTTGATGATTCTGCACAGATGCAAAGTTGCTCTTGGCACGCTGTGAAGGCTCGTATAATAAACTGATACCAATGATCAGAAATAAGAGCGGCATATTTCTGTCTCCTGGTTCTGAATAAACTCAGCTCAACCACCTTATGGCTCCATCCCAAACTCTTGTGCTTCATTTTACTAAAGTTGTCATGAGGTTTATTAGTAAATCCTTCAGTTGTACCGTCATTCATCCATTCATTCCTCATTTAGGATTCATTCACTCATATGCAAAGATGTCTCAGAGGTTGAACAACAAAGCTGCCATTCATCAACCTGAACAGAAACCCACAGAGGGTCAGAGTGCTTGAAATAATATTGCCCCCTAACTAAGATAACTTAGTAGGAAGATTAAAACATGTAAAATACACATTTTCAAATAAATTAGATTTGAATCACACTTGATGTAAATTGAGGTGATAATAAATAAAAATACCTTTTAAGCTGGTCTCATTTTAGTGCATCACTCATTCAGTTTGATACCTGAAATCTACTAAAGTGGTCAAGATCTATATAGTCATAAATAGGAATGGAAGTCAATAGATGGTCCTCACTAAGATAAATGTGTGTGTGTGTGTAAAACCCACCTGACACCGCTGCATTCCTCCTTCCAGAACGTGGACATCCATCGTACGTCTGAAGACGCCCTGCAAACCGTCCCTGCTCACCTATGATAGCTGAATTTGGTCACGCTGACGTCACACCTCCTCTGTCTCTCTCCTGGGTCTTTGTGATGGGTGGACCTGAACGTTTGGTGTGTGTGTGTGTGTCTAAACATCTGGTCTGACAGATGTTTTGATCACTGGGGTTTCAACGTGTGCAGCCATAAATTTAACCCTGATTGTTACTCCGACGTGTTAAAAATCATTTCTGATTTTTCTGCTGACGTGGAAGTTCACTGTGCAATCGTCATTTCATGTGAAAATGTGCAATTCTGTAGGATTTGAACTCTGAAAACAAAAAGATGGAATCTGCTGATTGACTGAATGGGTTGGGTGATGTTAGCTTTAGCTATTCTTAGTTGTGGGTTGTGTGTATATTTACTGTATTTAAGTTGATGAAAGCACAAAACATGTTTTCATATATGAAAACATTTCAGGCAGCATATTTGAAATGCAAAACAATAGAACTCTCAGCCAGAAGTTGGTTATTTAAGATAAACTTTAAAACAATTTGTTTCTGCTCAAATGTAATAAAGATGTTATTTTTCTAAACCCTTTAAAACCGCCAGATTTGTTTTGTCATATGTTAACGGAATAGTAGAAATGAGTCCTTCCCCAATTGTTGATTTAAATATGTTCAAAAAGAGGGAAAACTCCAGCTGTACATTTAATAAAATGTATATTTCAGTTTTGATTTTGGCTCCAAATGATCAAAAAGCATAATCAACAAAAAAAAAAAACATTTTTGCCACAGTCTGCTTTGCAAGTAAACTCCTATTTTTTATTTCCCTTCTAAATAATTCCTATTTCCCGCCCTTCTGAAAGTTAAACTCACTTTTTGTGGTTCACTGATATCCGGAGCAGATTTGCAGAACAAGGGTAAAACACACTGGCTGAGCATGACGCATGTCCCGAAATATGCCTATTATTTACATATGACCCACTAGAATGTGATGTGGATACAACAGCGTGTTTCATATAGTTATATTACTAAGCATTAATGCTGCTGAAAATGCATTTCTATGCAAATTATTTTCCTGTCTGGACCTGGGCTTCCATAGCAACTCCTCACTGCTCTGATGTCCACGTTTCCTTTACGTGACTGATCAGCCAAGTAGAGAACATTAGCTGTTGTTTTTGTCAGACTCAAAGAAACAGATGTTTTCCAAAAGCAGCAGCTGACCCATTCAAAGTCAAATTAGCTGTTGAATATAAATGATTTTTCCTAAAAATCTGCATTTTAATATTCTAAAAATCAAGAGTTGTGGCTTAACCCAAAAGGGTTCAAATGAAGGCAACTAGACTTCTTTGGTTTCTTGAAGATGTTTTGTTTCTCATCCAAGGAGCTTTGTCAGTTCTGACTGGAATATGGGAGTCTAGCTTATAAACTGTTGCATAACGAGCAGAAACTACCTAGATTTCCCCTTTCCAGCACATACAATGCAGCTTTACACCTACTTCCAAAACAGTTTCAGTTCAGGTCACACCATTCTGCAATAATCCAAACATTTCCACATAATAAAGCCTAATGACTTAAGGTGGGTATTCATAGGTAGTTTCAGCTCATTCAGCAACAACAGACATCTACAGCTTATAAGCTTGACTCTCCCGTATTCCAGTCAGAAAAGACAAAGCTCCTCAGATGAGAAGCGAAGCATCTTCTAGAAACCAAAGAAGTCCAGTCAGCTTTATTTTAACCTCTTTGGATTACCATGACCTGGTTGACTGAGAACCGTCACCAGCACACAGTTCACACAGGCTCATTGATTTTATGAATTCTTTCAAATCACAAACAGAAGATGAAAGTGAATGAACCTTTTCCGAAAGATTTATCTAAAATTGCAGGTAAAAAAAAGACTAAGTGAAAAACCAAGGCTCAGATTGGTAACGAGTCAGGACTTGTCTGTAAAATAAGATCTCATCTAGTAAAATCTAGCAGCTCTTCTAGGTTTTAGTTGAATAATTTGGGTTTAGTAATACATGTTCATATGCTGAACCACTTCCTGTTTCTTTTATGAACAGTGTATAAAGATAAATGTGAGCTAATAAAACGACTTCCTCTGTTCATACGCGCACCAGCAGACGTGAACCATGTATGGCGTTTTTTAAAAACCCAACACTCACATATAAACAAAAGACTTTATTTCTCTCTGATTATTTTTTTCTTTCATGGGTTACTGTGACGTCCTCTGAGACTTCTCTTTTTCTAGTTGATTAAACGCGGCTAGATCACTTCCCCCAACAATTTTTATAGACACATTTGAAACGGTGACGAACACAGACTCGGGTTTATTTGCATCTTCTCGTCCTGAGCGACCCTGTTTTCATGGACATCAACCGGATTAATACTTTAAGGACCCGCCTTTGTTTGGGGATTTGTTCAGTGGCTGAAAATGAAACTGGTAAACATTTCATTATATACATGAACTGGCATCCATGAGTACAGGGGAAAAGCTTGAGACAAGGGCAGAGGGTGTTCTGTCCTCTCCACGTGGGTCTTCAGTTCTTCTCTCAAATGCTGATTGGTCCAGATAAGCGTCCCAGGCTTGTGTGTGAGACCGAGGACATCGCTGTCTTTAGAACTGTGGAGGAAAGGATCTAATTATTTCAGTCTCATAAGAACAAACGTAGCCTGGCAAGCCAGACTAAATAAATGTATTATTTAGTCTGGCCATGCTCCATTGACGGCTCTCGGTTGTGGGGCGGGTTCTACCGTTGTCTTTCAAATGATCTCCGCATTCCACTGGACAATGAATGTGACATACTCTTGTTTCACTCTGTTGCATCATCCCACCCACCAGGCATATAGAGTGTCCTGATTGGCCCACAAAGCAGATAAAGCTCTGTGAATTGTTCACTAAGCAGATGGAGCACTATGATTGGGCCACCATTATGGACCAATCACAGCTCTTTATGTGTTTGAAACCCCTCTAGAGAGCTGTGATTGGCTAGCCAGAGTCCTGGTAGGAGCTGCTGAGGTTCCAATGGAGCATGCCTAGACCAAACTTTGCAAAGCAAGAATTTGGTCTAGTTCACTAGGCTAGAACGAACGAGCATGGCGGTTAAAAGATACTTACATTTTTGAGGAATTCTTCTGCAACAATACGGGCCCTGGCGTTGACGGACAGTTTCATCTCGCTGATCTCCTTGTCGATCTCCTCCATGAAGTGGATGACAAAGTCCACCAGCTTGTGTTTGTACATCTGCTCTGTGTGGAAGTTGGTAATCAAGAAGCTAATATCGTATCCCTGAGGAAATATAAACAAACAACAAATAAAGTTTGTGTACAGTTACCGTCTTAGCACAACTCACAAGCTCCACCCCTGCATCACCTCCACTGGTTTCCTCCTCAGGATGAAGAAGTTCTCAGCTCTCATCATCATGAAACGCATGAACTTGTGGCAAAGGATCTTCTCAATCTCGTCTGCCTGCAATCAACACAAATGTTGTTTTATCATGTCTCCCATTGAATCAATGATAAAAACAGCTAAGAAGGCAATCAAGGATTTAATTACCTGCTTGACAGCAATGCTGACTCTGACAGAGTTGATTGACCCCTCAATGAGAACCTTCTCCTTCTCATTCCGGCTGATCACCACAGGCTGAAGCAGCAGCTCCTTACTGCTCCTGCAAAGCAACAACAGAGCGGTTCTTAGATGTTGACTTCCAGCTAGTCTCGGCTTTCTAGCTGCATTGGGAGGACACCTTCGAATGGGCTGCAGCAAGTCAGCACAAGTCCACACTTGTGTGTCAGCTGCAGATAATCCACCGAGAGCTCAGGGGCAGGAGAAACATCAGGAAGAAAAAAGTGGATTTTGACACCACCGAGACTGCAGGTGGTTCTGTGCCAATAAACATACCTGACTTCTACCTCCGGTTTGTTGTGGCGCTCCACCACCTGAGAGGAGAAGTTCTCCAGACAGAGGGCTGCCTGCAGGGTGGACCTCACAGCGTTCAAATACGGGCGCAGAGTCGCTGTCTGAGCAGGAACAGAGATCAGGGTTAGCAACAGGAATCCTGCATGATGATGTTCTGTTGATCCAGCTCAGTGAGACCGACCTCACCTGAGCCAAAACTGAGCATCCATACATGAATTAATACATATATAACCTTATTATTTTTCACTTTGTCCGTTTTAGGGTTTCTTTAATAAAGTAGTTATCGGTCGTCTGTGCAGAAAACTGCATTAAAAGCAGGAATTAAGCTGAATCTCGGTGAGTGAGGTGCCTCCAGGTGAGAGTAGATCGCTGATCAGACCTCATAATTGTGCTAGTAATTTTACAACGTTAAAAACGTGTGTTTTCAAAGAGCCACCTGTAACACTAACGAACGAAAAAAGGCCCCAGAACACAGCTCAGCTAAATCACTTCAGTCTCCATTCCGTATGAAAGATGCCCGTTACTGAAGCCAGCCACAAACAAACGCCATCTGTGTGACTCGAACACATAGCTAGCTAGCTAAGGTCAAGTCGCAGTGAGTTGAAAGAAATCGCAAAATTATTCTATATTTTCAGAAACTCGCAAAGTGCAAGAGACTTACCATTTTTGAGCTGTGAAGAAGGAAGTTCCTCAGCCACGCCTGGTACGACTCTTCCGTAAATTCTTCATGGTAATGTAAAGCAAGAGTGCGTTTGTTCTATTCACCTTTCTGGTTGGGTTAGGCGGGCATACATTGTTTGAAAGTATAACTCCGCCCAGCAGGGAAGTGGTTTCTAAAACGAGCACTTACAGCGGTGCATCCATTTGTCTAACCAAGTGGGGGGTGAGAGTCTTTGCTTTTATGACTTTTAAAAAAAGTTACCTTGATTTTTAAAATGATGGTTGTGTTGATTTAATTCGTAAAATAAAAATACTACAATGTTCCACTACGTCGATTTAGAATTGAAAATCTACTTAAAAGGTTTTGTGCAGCTGCGCACTGATAGAACATGGTTTAATCCCACCGTGACATTTTGGTTTACATGGGGGTTGTTGTGATCAAAATTTGGCAATTTTTGTTTTGTGTGCTGTATATCTTTAAATCTAATAGTACATATTACATAACATAAACACAGTGCTTGATTAATATTTCTTTTGGTTCAGGGAAGGTGCTGTTTTATTAATATCTTTATCGACACCCCTCTTGCTACAATGGTTTGTTCCATCATGGACACTTTTTACTGACGGTAAATGCTACTACTCAATGTTTCTGGGCTCCAAACATGAAAATGTAAGGTCTTAAATTTCTCCGTGGTGTAATATCTGTATGCAGACAGTGAATATGAAAGCCACTGTTGTTAAATTCTGAGATATCAGCCCCATTTGGGCCCGGGGCGGAATGATGCATCCTTTTTTCACGTACGTGCTTTGGGTTTTTGATTAGAGACGCACCACCGAGCTCGGCCGAACACCTGTGTGTGTGTGTGTGTGTGTGTGTGTGTGTGTGTGTGTGTGTGTGTGTGTGTGTGTGAGAGAGAGAGAGACACACATACTTCTAACTAACGCGATGCTCGTGTTTGTACCAGTTTAATAGGACATTGACAGCACCACGGCATCATGAGCGAACTGAAGGACTGCCCCCCGCTGAAGTACTACGACTTCAAGCCCGTGGAGCACGTTAAGTTGTGCCCCCGTTACACCGCAGTGTTGGGACGGTCAGACGACGATGGCATCGGCATCGAAGAGCTGGACACCCTGCAGCTAGAGCTGGAGACCCTGCTGTCCTCAGCCAGCCGGCGCCTCCGAGCCCTGGAGGAGCAGAGACAGGTGGGTGTTTCAGGTTAATGAAAGAATGGACTCCAAATAAAAAATATATAAAAATATTAAAACTTTCATTCTTACCTACTTCTTCAGATCCTCACAGATTGGCAAGACAAGAAGGGAGACAAACGATTTCTAAAGCTGGGCAAAGACCCAGATCCTGCGGCCCCATCCCGCCATAAACCTAAGAAGCAAAAACTGGATGGAAAGGGAGGACATGCACCAGGCCCAGGTCCTGGCAGACCCAAATCCAAAATCCTACAGCCCAAAGTTCAAGAGTATGATTTTCCAGATGATCCACAAGACATCCCTCGCACTCCGAAGAACGATGCACCCAACAGGTTTGCAGCATCAGAACCTTTTAAGTATAGAAGAATATCTTCTGGTGCATTATTAGCTAGACTGTTCAGGGATGTGCTGTATATCCACAACAATCATCAGTTTGTTTTTGCTTTAATGTGTTTTTTTTTTAGGTTCTGGGCGTCAGTCGAGCCATATTGTGCTGATATCACAAATGAGGAGGTACGACTGCTGGAGGAGCTTCTTAAGCCTCCAGATGATGAGACTGAGTACTTCAAAGTAAGACGTAAATCACAGTCTTCTTCATTTAAGTAATAATTAACATCTTAGTTTGCGGTTGATGAAGACGCATTGTGGGAAAAGTACGCCAGCGACTCAGCTCCGTTTGTGCTAACTGTAGATTCCAGCTCTGGGGAAGCATTATTCCCAGCGATGGGCCCAAGAGGACCTGCTGGAGGAGCAGAGGGAAGGAGCACGGGCCAACGACAAGAAGAAAAGCATCATGGGAGGGCCGCTGTCAGAACTAGATGCAAAAGGTGAAGGAGGCCTGAAACGATCGTGAGCATGTGTGCTTTTGTCTTAACTGTGCTTAACTGTGACATGCAGCTGTTGCTACTATGTTTGTTTTAATACTCGTCTTTACTTTTATTTTATTTTTTACAGATGTCGACTCCCTGCTGAAAAAGTCAGAATCCCAGCATGAATCACCAGAAGATGGGTGTCCCTTCTTCCCCCTCACACAGCGGCTGCTGCAGGCTCTTGTAGAGGTCAGACTAACTCCATTCAAATCTCACTGAATTAGGATTGAGGTGCAACCATTTTTAGGTAACATCGACTTTTGTTTGTTTCTACTTCATTGTGTGGTATTGTTTTCCACTTACCCATATTCATCCGTTTTAAGATTTCATACTTTACAGCAGGCAGAGATACCTTCTGATTCCTGACAACTACTTTTAGTGTAACCAACATATGTATTTATGTGTGTTCTCTAGTGAAACAACTTGATTCATCAGCCAGCACTTGTGGTTTCTGTAACGGTCATAAGATCACAATCTGAAGTACTTTATTCAGCTTTGCTTTGCAGCGTTGCTCGCACTTTTACCTTCTTTTCAACCGTTTGTCTTTTTAGTGCATCTAAAGCCTCTTCTGCACCAAAAGCTGCAAAGCTGAGATCTGAAAGCTGTTTATTTGTATGGTTTGGAAACGTTGCACTGCGGCATACTCTTGTGCAGCCAACAGACACATAAAACATCTCTGTGCGTGCTGCTTTTGGTGTGCCAGAGGCATCGGAATAACTGTCAGAAACCTGTACACTGATTTGTTCTCTTGCATTGATCCATGCAGAGAAAAAGTGTTGGGTGTTGACACAGCACTGGTTGGTTTCTAAAGTTTAAGTTATGTTTGTGTAGATTTTGCATCAGAAACAAGAAAAGTATTCATCGCTAAATCTGGAGCCTGAAAAATGTTGCTGCAAAACCTTTCTAGAATATTTGAAGTCCAGCTCCTTTTGGGCTTATAGCGTAACAAGAGGTAGTCATAGAGGTGTATGTTTATCAGTTTGGTTTTGTTCTTTTCCAGGAGAACATTATATCCCCTATGGAGGATTCTCCAATACCAGACATATCAGGAAAGGATGCCAATGACGGTGCTGGCACTTCTCCTCGAAGCCAAGGCAAAGCATTCAGGTGCGTTGCATCGTATCCGTGCAGAAGATCAGCTCTTTGTAGAACGTTATCTACCAGGTTCAGTTTAAGGTTCGGATGTTTGTCTACAAAGCCTGTGAACTGCCTATTTCTAACATGCCCACTCCATCTCAGAGGTCTGCTGTAGGGATGGAGAGATTCACCGATATGAACCGGTGGTTCGTTCATAACGTTAGCGATGCGACCGCACCGGTAGCTTCAGCGTGCGTCGGTTACAACTAATCAATGTATCTTTCCATACGTCGTCGGTTATAACTATGGTTACATCGGAGGTGATAGCAAAGCTACTGATGAGCTTTACTCCTCCACATAAATCGTCCGTCTCTCCCCTCCACAGTGTTCCTCACACACGGTCCCTGGAGGCACGAATCAAAGAGGAGCTGATAGCCCAGGGGCTGCTGGATTCCGAAGAGAGACCTGGACAGGGCGGAGACTCCGAGGACGAGGTCCTGGCAGAGCTGCAGAAGAGACAGGCAGAACTCAAAGCCCTGAGTGCTCACAACAGATCCAAGAAGCAGGAGCTGCTCCGGTGAGAACGGTGGTAGTGTCACCACTGACCAGCTCCATCAGTTCTGGGTGGAAATGTCACCCTGTGATGTGCTGATGTTTTGCAGGTTGGCCAAAGAGGAGATGCGCAAACAAGAACTGAGACAGAGAGTTAGGGTGGCTGACAATGAAGTGATGGAGGGATTCCGGCGCATCATGGCCGCCAGGCAAAAGAAACGCACCCCGACTAAGAAAGAGAAGGATCAAGCCTGGAAAGCACTAAAGGAGAGGGAAAGCATCCTCAAGTTGTTAGATGGATGAAGAATTCCTTTTTACGTTGTGCCCTTGTCCTCATACAGAATACAACTGTCCTGAAGTCAGTGTTGTTTTCACAGCATGAAGCTTAAGAGCATCCGGTGTCTCATTTGTTGGATTCAGTTCTGTGTTAAATCTTTACCTTGTTTTTATTTGAAAATTTGTCATAAAGCACAATAAATCTGCATGTTTTTTATTATTTGTATATTTTAATGTCCGAACAAATCAGAGTAGTTGTGTGAACTTTAGTATAAGTGTTCTCATGTCCTAAATAACTGAAGCAAGTCATTTCTGAATTAAATGTCACATTTTCTGTCAACTATTAACCCGTTTTTGTTTTTTCTTTAGCTTGAAGCCGACAATCCCTGGTCCCTGGTACACTTTCCTGGTTATTTTAAACTTTTCCACCTTTAATGAAGTTTAGTAGTAGATTAAAGTGAAAGTAATTCCACGCCTCCCCCACTAGATGGCAGTGCATCATCTGTAGCTTGGGGGCAACTCTCCCAGCTCGGAGCTTTGTGGTGTGTGTCCACTTGCAGATGTTCTTTACTGATTTTGATCTAGAGATAAAGCCGCAGACTGTGTGTCTCACAGTGAGCAGCTGGGGGTCAGAGGTCACTCGGTTCATCTTATAGAGTTGGAGAGCTGCACAATTATCCAACTTTAATCGTGAACCAACAGTCGGATACCCTCACTGACATCACAACTTGGCAACACCCAACCCAGAACCTGCATCAGAGTCAGGATTTTATTTGTTTGCTGATGTCATCCTCTGCTCAAAAATAATTACAAGATATTCTGGAGAGATTCCAGAAAAAATAAAAATTTAAAAACTGATGGCATCATCAACAGCCTCTCTTTAGAGAAACAGTGTTTATCCTACTGATTGATAAGCTAAGAGCTAGTGTGAGTGCAGCTGAGACTAAAATAGGGAGCCTAAGTCACACCCATCTACTTCTGATCCAAAACAAAGAATGGAAGCCTGTGAGCCGACAAGTTATTGTCTGATCCTGTTTGATGTGCCATGGATTTAACATATGTCTGAAAATTCGCCACACATTTTGATGCCATGAAAGCGTTTATTTTTGTCAAGCAGCAAAATTTAGGTTCTGTGTGAAAAGACATAGCGGACTACAAATTGGCATCATCAAACCAGAAAAGGAGAACCATTAAATGTGGAAAAACCACTAGAATTCAGACCGTGTGATAAGTAGCAGCTACGCTGCAGGAGAAGACATTCTGCAGTATATGCAACGTCTAATTAGTCATTTTAATTAAGAATTTTTACTAGTGCTGTCAAAAAAATCACGTCCATTTAGTTAATGTAAAATGTTTAATATGTACTTAGTTAATGCAGTTTTTTTTATTTCAAGTAATCTGAGACCTTTTAACTCGTGAGCAGCTCTGAAAGAAGGGGCGGCATTGCACTATGTTGGTGTTTGGCCTGCTGGAAATGATTAGAAGAAGCAAAACCATGCTACCCAACACTCACACTGCACCCTACGGTCTTCTGGGAAGTGCACTTGGAGGAAGTGTGCAGTAAGGCTTTGAGTGCGTGGTGCACAAGTGTGCATATAATTGGAACAGGGAGCATTGCGTCATCGACCGCAATGCATGTCCCATAGTGGGACGTCATAGGCACAGATCCCCTGTCCTCTTTTTTTGGAAATGGAAATATGGTCACCCTATATTAAACAAACTGTCCACCCGGGTTTTGCGCTGCACAGAGACGCTTCTCTGCCCATGACTCTGTACGTCAGTTGAGAGTCAGTCTCATGCAGACTGACCAATGAAGAGAGGGCCTCAAGTTAAGACCCTTTCCTCATTGGCCAGTCTACACAAGGTGGGTCAAAGGTTACCCTGAGCGGGTTACGTGATGTCAGGCATCAAGTATTGAGTATATTTACTGCATATTACAGTAATATATTCTGTATGTGGCCATATTATGGTGATCCTTGGGTCGTGATGATGGGGCCCTTTAATATTGTTGCCCAGGGTACAACGAAGTGTTAATCTGGCCCTGGTTAGGACACACATTTTTTGCGAGTGGATGGTTCAAACTCGCAGCTGGGTGCAAAAGAAACGGATCTCGAGGGGGGAACACACAACACCGGGATGCTGGTCGCTGTGCTACTTAAAAAAAACTTTATTGATAACTTTCAAACAAACAACCAAACAATTACTTGAAATAAATTTACATTCATTCCTGATTTGTCTAAAACATTCAGAGCATCAACTAATCGTTCTAAAATGAAATATTTTATTTTGAAAATACATATATTCAGAAAATGCACGAAAGCCTTTTCTCCCGCAGCGATGAACTGTGGGTAATACCCACATTGATGCGGACTTGGGTGAAGTGCGGATCAAGGGTGCATCCCTGATCGGGATCACACAATTGAAGGGCGCAAGTGTGGAAAAGTATTGGGATTGTGCCTTTCTATGAGGACCAGACAGAGGGCTCACCGATCCAGCAAGTTTGTGCAACGAAGGAACATCGCTCTCACAGGAGACCACTGGACTTCAGTAAACAAGATATCAATTTGGGAGTCACGGAGCGTTTTAACGAGTGGACTCAGTGAGTAAAACTGAAGAGCAACACTGCTGAGGTGGGGAGGAGCTTGCCAAACAGCAAAAGCTGCAGGAACTACTTGAACCTGGCAGGAAAATGATTTTGTTTCTTATGTGTGTTTGCATGTTTGTGTGTGTGTGCATCTTTATTCTGCATTTTCTTGTATTGTACGAATTAATGTTACAAGCTCATACATAAAGTTGAAAAAAAAATTTGCAGCCAGAAATTACAGAAAATTGTGCAATTAGTTAGCTAATGAATTACAACAAAAATGGCTAAACTTAGAAGAGAACATAAAAAACTATTTCACCACGAAGGTGAGTGATGTTTGCAAATGTTATTGAAGACTGAGTTCACTTCAGTGTAAATGAATGCCTTGTTAGTCAATCTCTGTGGGATAAAAGTTCTCACACACACGTTTCAGGAAGTAGAAGTTAGTCGGAGGAGAGGGGAACAGAAAACGGCAGGATTTGGCGTTTTGGGCCCAATCCCAAGTCTCACCCTTCCACACTTGCACCCTTTCATTGCACGTTCCAGTCCAGAATGCAGAAGATGATCACACCCCTTTTGCACCGTTGATCCACACTTGGCCCAAGTCCGCATCAACGTGGAAAGTGTTTGTTTGTTTGAAAGTTGTTAATAAAGTTTTTTTAAACTAGCACAAACAGCGACCGACATGCGTTGAGGCTGATGATGCCATGCTCCCTGTTCCAAATTATTTGCACACCTGTGTACTACGCACTGCCTTCAAGTGCACTTTGCTGAAATTGCTTGGTGCAAGTATTGAGATTAGGCCTTACTTCCTGACATTCAGACACCTCGCCTCTGATTGGCTAACGGCAACATGACTCTACCACTGACTCTGCTTTGCAACGTTGATGTTTTATCTCCATAAATGTCACAAGCCTGAAGGAGTCCTTCCCTGTTGTGGCGTTGCTCATGCTGACAGTTAGCTTCTGCTAGTCGAGCCATTCTCTGCTGTTTCCTGGACGCCTACATGGATGAGTCTGAATGCTAATTTTCAGTGTGACGTAGATGTTACTGGCTTTTCTAATCCGAGCGTTTTGCCGTCTTTTTTCAGTCGACAGGTAACGCAGAAATTGAAAATAGGGGTAGAAGACTATTTTCATATTTAGCCTGCATGTTTCAAAAATAACAAGTAAAAAATGATTCTTAGTAAAACTGGCCTTTAAGGTAAGTTAGTCAGCTTTGCATCACAAACAAATTATTAACAACAATATTATTGATTAATAAAACTATTCATGTGTGTGTGTGTGTGTTGAGGGGGCAGTGGTTTTAGGTGCACACTAACTGAATCTACAGTAATACAGAAATATGATCCATGGTTTTAAAAATAAATCTAACAGCAGATGGAAAGTGTTCTTGGGCACAGCTCGAGTTTGGAGGCTTCAACAAAGACTCGTCCATCATGTAAAACCACTTTCTTTCAGGCTGGTATCCTCTGTGCAAATGAAAATAGCCATGAGCCCCACGTGTATGAAAGCTTTTAATAACATGCAGGCCAGGTGAATGGGAGGCTGAATAAACGGCGGTGGCGGCCCCCTCCAGGCTGGGTGTTCTGCTGAAGGCTTTTGTTGCATTTGTTGTCATTAGACTTGAGCTGAAGGGCAGGTGGGTTTTGTGTCCATGCTCTGCTCATACATGCTTAATGATGCTCATCATCTGTTTGCACATCCCATACTGAGTGGTTTGTTTCCATTTAAAAAGCAGGCCACACTCTCTTTGTGGAGCGTCCTCACGAGCTGGGCTCCTTTGCCCCTCTCTGTCACTGCATGTAAACCTTTATGGCGCTCTGGCTCAAGAAGGGCCGGCCGCTCCTTGTCACACACAAATAAAGTGTAAATAAAGTGCTGCTGTGTGAGGAGACCGCGTGCACGCACTCTGTGCTCCTATCGGTCCAGATCAGATGGGAGGTGGGTATTCGGTCCATCGGTTCTTTGTTTTGCTACTGTTTATGAACCATGTGCCTTTCTCTAGAGCTCTCCTACTCCACCTCCGTCTCTACGTTCCTCAGAGCCTGGAAACAGTGACTGGTGTACACACACACACACACACACACACACACACACACACACACACACACACACACACACACACACACACACACACACACACACACACACACGCGCAGAAACGTGGGGATTTAACATAAATCTTTTCAGCTTTCATGCTAAATTAAAAGTGCGTGCGTGTCTCAGAGATGCAGACAGAGGTTGAGACAGCTGCTGAGGCCTGCCGTTCCTCTGAGAAGAGCCTCTGTCCAGCCAGGCCACACCCCGACCCTTATCATGCACAGTGGACTATTGTCTTCATGGATGTCCCCCCTCGTCAATGACATCACACTCTGACTAACCCCAGAGGGCGGCTGTTGCTGTTGTGGTCACACTGGACGGATCTTTCACCAAAAGTCAGAAACACACAAACCAGCATTTGGTGAAAACACACACACACACACACGCTTGCACGCACGCACACACACACACACACACACACACTCATGTCATGCTGTGCCTTTTTGTGACCCATCCCTTACTTTATCTGATTTGAATTGTATTTGACTTTCGTTTGCATGGCAGTTGATGGTTTTCTTGTAGGACTCCTGGAATCAACAGCTCATATGCAAAGCAGCTAGCTCTGTCACTCAGCTCCACCTGTCTGTGTGGACCTCGTTGTGATACTTGAGCTCTTTTACAGCCTGTCAGTAAAGACGGTACGTGTCGGAAGCATAAGGGA